GGGGAATGTTTATGAGAAAAGTTTGCCGTAGTACATGTGTTACGCTTGATCGTTTTCTGATAATAAAAAGGCTCAGTTGATAATAAAAAGGCTCAGCTGATAATAACAAGGCTGAGTTATATCTGTGCATTTGTTGAATTCAAGCGATATCATCTCCGAAATACGATCTCATGCTTGGAATCAGAACTAGCTTCAGACTTTTCGGAAGTTTCAAGGAAAAAGATGGAATAAATGATTTTTGATTGTTTCCATGTGGAATTTCCTTATCCTCTCGATTGTTCATGATGAATGAGACGTTTTCTGTTTCCATAGCTTCTACATTGTACTCCAAAAAATCATGAAATGCTTGATTCAAATACGCGTACGTATAGCATGATAATTCTTCACGAACCGACCAACAATCAATAATAATTGTTATTTGTTTGAATTTATGTGAATGCAAGTCATCTTTGACATAGACATATAATTCAATATTACGCATTTGTTTATCCATAGACATGTATTTACTATGATCCATTAGCAGTCATTCTCATATGACGACAACAATGACTTCACATTAAATCCCTTTCTAACAGCAAGCAGTATCTGTTTTTTGGTTGAAAGAAATCTTGAAGCAATCGATCGGAGATTAGAGTCAATCGTAGAGTAACATAAATCTAAGTTGTGAAGAAAATTGAATGGTTGGGTGGGTATTGATCATGTTGAGGCGCGCTTCACTTTAATTGCCTTCACGACGAAGAAAGGCGACAAGATGCATGCGCATTGTGGTTTGTATTTGATTTCGCTAACTTGGGTCTTTTTCGAAGTTATTTTGCGAGTTGTGTGAATGAGAGTGAGCATATAGCAAGGATTTAATAGAACAACATAACAGCGGGATGGATATCTGGATGGATCACGGAGAGGGATGAAGGAATGCTGTTGACTTCGGCAGTGAAGAAGACAGCCGTAGAGAGGAGAAAGTTTTCGTCGAGTTAAGATTTGCCGTAATTTTCTAATAGAATTTTTTTAACAGAAAAAAAACTGAAAAATGTTCTCAAAATTTTGCAACGATGAAATAATTTGTTCAGTTTTAACGAAAAATGTGTCAACAGAGCAGAAAACGTCATGCTGAGTGCATTTGAAGAACACTTGCGAAAAAATCATTTTATCAATGGTGATATTTAAAAAGAACCTGGATTTGTTAGTAATTGTATTACTAGTATGAACAGACTCAATTAGTTAGTTGAATCTTGATTAGATTTTGAAGAAGATATGAAAAGACAAACGCATTTTTGCCATACATAATTATGCTTGTGAAGAAATAGATTATCTTGCAGTTTTGTCAGCACATAGATGTATTATTCCGTGATCCAGTTTAGGTGTTCCTTACTGATAAGTATTTAATGTTTCTAACGGAATTATTTCCAATGCGAGACTCAGAAATATCGAATGTGATAATAATAATAATAATAATAAAAGTAACAACGATAATAATTATGCTAATAATAATAGCTTTATGTTTTAGTACTACATTATTGTTATTGCGGCCATAATTGATATTGTTAGGTATGGCAACAACCACTCTAAGATGCCCATAGACTAAACAGTAATTCAATGGAGGAATTGATTATAATTTCGTGGCGAAGATTATCGATATACTAATAATAGTGATAATATTTCATTATTACTATTATTTCAGCAATAGAATTCGTGTTAGTAATATTCAAAAACGAATTTAAAGCATATTGTTCTATAGATCCCGAAGAAGGGATTTCTTATTCGAGTGTTCACAAACTTATGAAAATCTAAGCCTTATGAACTGGTGATATTTCATTTTGTTTATTTTATGACCAACTCATAAAGAAAATTTTATGAAATTCCCAACAAACATATGGATTGTTTCTGCTGAATGCATAAGAATATGATTTAAATGCGAATAAAAGCCCTAAACTGATAAAATTCCGCTATGATTGTGGAGTATTATTGAGATTTTCAATTGAAAACATTTTGTTTCATAGACCTCATTCACTCTTGATTATACGCTCTCGTTCAGATAGAATTATTTGAAAGGAAGCTATAGGTATGTGAAGTGAAAAGAACAGTTTGATATCCATTATAGACAGATGTGCTACATATTTAAGCAGTTTTTACATTAATATTTTATTAGGATTTAATGCTTCTGAACGGAATATATGCGTTTAAAAAGTTTTAAATGTTCTTATTTATTGACAAAGTGTTTTCGAAGAACTTTTCTTTGAACTTTTATTCCAAAAAATCTAATGTTATTGCTTCTTTTGCATTTGATTTCTCTGCTGGTCAGAATTTAATTCCCTCTCAAAATGTTCATCAATTTATTCTCTTCTCGTAAATCTCTCCTCTCAAATTGTTTGCTCAATCTTAAAATTATTATTGAATTTCTAAAAGAAGCAGCATCCAGATGACATGGAAGTTCATTGCGAGTTAATCGTGTCGCATTCAAGATAAACGCGTTCGAGAGTATGCCAGTAATTGTTGTTAGACTCTGATTTTTGATTGCACACGAACTCATTGAACGACGATTCAGTCAAATAAGCGATGATTAAGGTTGAAAAAAAAAGAAAACGAAAAAATTGACTTGCCTGCAAACTTTAACAGTAGCGATAATGTATGTGATAAGTAGAAATAAGGCAGTGATAGCGAGCAGGATCAGCAATTTGCTATTATCAGTAGGATTATCTCTATCAGCATTATTGAGATTGTAGTTGGTGTTCGGTGATAGATGAACAACATCAATACTGTCAATTCGAATACCACCAAGAACACGTGATAATGGCGCCAGTTGAGCAGATAGAATATATTTTATCTTTGTTGAATCAATTATCATCAAGTCGTTTAATGAGCCAACATTCGACGACTTTGTGACTACGAATGATAGTGTCGTGGAATTTGTTGTCGCATTTGGTGATGCAACTCTTAACACGATCACATTGTCCTGCAAGTTAATGCTGCCATTCTGATCAGTCTAATTGATGAGTAACAACACTGAAGGTTTTATTATGTCATAAACACTACTGACTAAAAAGAGGTATGTAAATGGCCAATTATACCTTATTGAGTCGTAATGTTGCACCTCGGCATTCGTTAGCCTGTTGCTCGCAGTACGTACTTACCATGTGGGCAATACGACGTTTAAAATAGGATTCATAAGTTTCGTTTGTGTGCAGTCGTGCACTGAGATTAACGTGTCGCAACTGCATTGATACCACCGGTAGGTCTTTGGGCTTCAATTGCAAAATGGTAATCGTTATTATTTCTCATTGTCATCATTACTGCTGCCATCATCATCTCATCGTTATTACTATCACCAAATGGTTATTGTTTATGTCTGATCGTATGGTTATTACCCGTTTTGCTATTTTAAAAAATTTTATCTGAAGTCAATTTTTGATGTTTAAAATAAGATGCATTTGTTCGTTTCATTTTTCATTCAATATTTTGAAGTGAAAACTGATTATTCGCGTAGGAATGCAATCGTAAGTACGTGGTTGTAGTCGAATGTTTCAAGTAGGTTCTCTATTTCCAAACAGCTAATCTATTTTAGGCATTTGATATTAACGAATATTTGCCTCCATGTTAATTATGTGCGTCATTCTCAACAACCTTTTAACTTGATCACATTCTTTTATGCAATTCACAGTTGATGTTTATTTCCATTTCAAAATAGTATCGACACGTTCCATCGAATGTAGCTTTTAGAAAAATAAATATGAATAATCTATGAATCAATAGCATAATTATTCCTGTTAATTTGAAAGAATTTTCACAACAAATATCAGTATTGCGCACGATCTCATAAGCAATTAGAGGATTAACTACATAATTTACAAGCAAATAACATATGCATTCTCTTGACTAATTAATATTTCTTCTGAAATATCACTCATGGGATTTTTGAACTTCGAAATACGTTTGGCAACGACCACAATAATGTTAATGTTGATGAAGATAACGCTCGTTACGAAAATTGTTTTATGGGATTTATTCATAAGTCAAAAACAATGTGGTTGTGTTAATTGTGTTTATTTGTTTGTTTGCTAGCCGTAATTAAGTTTTCCTTAATCATTTTTGGCGAGAAATATTCTCTTCGCATTCTCCATTAAATTTCTTCTCTTTGTTTCTCGTCTCTCTTTGTATCTGAGTAATTGAATTTGTTATTAGAATTTCTCAACCAACCGACATATAAAAAAGCATCGCTCAGCGAATCGATCCGCAGCGTGTGTCTAACAAAGGTCTATCGATCACTGTATCATTTGCTTAACTTCATCTACATCTGTAATAAAATCTGTTTGTTTGTATGTTCGTGTAATTCGAGATGAAATGAACGGTGTTCGAGAGTGCTCAAAGGAGATTCTGTTTCAGTAAACAAGCTATAATACCACCGGTGGTTTCCTCTGGTTTGCACGAGTGATCACTTGTCTACCAGTGTTGTCTTGTTTGAAATCATTTATTTACATTCATATGACTCAACCTATCAAAATCAACGAACGTATTAAATTTCGCTCTTGTGAAACCTATATGGGAAATTTTTGCAAGATTCGTGTGACTTTTTTTTGTGCATACTGATCATAATAATTTTTGATAGTGTTTTCTGTGGTGTGGTTTATGGAAAGTGAACCTGTCATGTCAATAAACCAATGAGGCGTATTGTCTCAGTTGAATGATATCGTGTAAAGNGATTTCTAATGAATATTGCACCGAATAAATTCGATGAGTGATGTGGACAACGATAATATACCATTGTTAGCAGTATTATTGAGTTGTACAATAAACGAAGTGCGTACCTCAATGAAACGATCACATGAAAGGAATTTGTTTCGAAGATCGCCTTTGTTGTGCTCACAAATACATTGATGTTCGGTATGGCGATTACAGAGAATGTCATTCTGCGATTTTCGTTGTTGACTATGAATTGCGTTCGGGTTAGAATTAGTGGCTCGTTTTTGTAGTGACACTGCCGATGGTGATAGCGATAGGTGATTATCGAAGAGTTGTTGATCAACAAGGGACGGAATATGATGATGATGATAATATTCAAGATTACTCTTCAAGCACATTGTAAAATTAACGTATAATATAATTAAAACGAAGATGATGGCGAAGTAACGTGAAGAGTGTCTGTGGAAGACAAAAACCTGACACATCATGCAAAGCATATCCATCCACATCCAGCACCGAATGAAACTGCTCGAGAACGATGAAGCAGTTAGAAGTCCTCTGCTAGTCGCTGCTGCTAGTGCCTGTTCGTCTGTTATCAATAGAAGTATCCGTCCGTCATGCATCAACTTCAGTCTCGATTTGGTCTGATTTGTCGTTCGTTGTTTTGTTGTTCAACAACCGATCTACTCGTATATCTTAAACACTTCTTCATTTCACCGATTCAAATCCATCCTTATATATAACCAACCACCCAACCCAACATACATACTACTTCTTTACTTCCTCACATAGCAGCTCTTATAGCTACTACTTTACTTTACTACTATCACCGTTAACACTGATATTCTTATTCCACTGCTCTTATGCAATATTCTGTGCCTTCATACACTCAGCACCTATCCTCTCGATGCAACTTATCGTGCAACACGCCCTAAGGCTATCTGCTCTGCAGTTCTGTTTGCATACCACCCTCCATCCTAACCTTTTCATTACCGCTGCTCATCTTTTATGCATATTCTTGCAGCGATATCCTTTTCTGACTGCTTCTTTTGCTTAACAAAGTGTTATTTCCTTTATTCCTCATTTCCATTCTCATATCTACCAACCTGTCAAGTTATTTTTTCATGGCTGTTTATGTTACGTGTGTTTGTCTTTTATTCTCTCAATCAATTTCAATCTCACGGAAGGATATTCAGGTGTGCATTGCCTGTAGCGTTGTCTAACTCGAAATCTCCGCGTTGAATCAACTTGATATTACTACTCCCTAATCGTGATTACTTTCTTTCCATCCATGAAGCTCCATTTCCATTCGAAAGAAATTTTAAATTCTTTCTGTTAAATTTCAGCCATGTCAAGAATGTGCACTCTATGAAAATAACACTTATGTATTATCTGAACAAAGTTTGCTTTTATGCTTATTATTGCAAGTTTACGGTTTATTATCAACGCAATGCCCAATCATCCGTGAAATCTGGATAAAATCATTCGCGTAAAATTTTTAACTCAGCTTCCTTCTTTACGACCGATTGGACGAAGCATGTTCCGTTTCAATTCGGCATATTAGTTTGATCGATTGCGTAAGACAGAAATCATTTCGAAAGGGAAAAAGAATTTGATAAATTTCCGAAATGGCATTCAGTTTTAGATAGGTGATTGCCACAGAAAAGGAAAGCAAAAACGATATCATTCATCAGCAATACTCTTCGAGAGTTTAGAAAGCGGTTTACCCGTCCAGTCTGTTCCCAGCGAACATCATAGTTTTTGGAATGACTGCATTGATAATTGTTGCATGATCTTAGTGACTATGCATGATACTGCTTATGATAACGTATGATTCTACTGTAATAATTCGGCGCTTTGCTGAACTTAGTTGGCAGTTTAGTGCGACGTGGAGTGTGTCTTCGAGATTCTTTTTTTTTTTCAAATCATCAATCTTTTGGGAAATTCTCACAGCAAGTTGTCTCTCGCCACTTGATGACGTGTATTGTGTTGGAATTTCGGCAAGTTTATGCATTTAAAAATGTATTCCATTGATATTTTTGCGGCCATTCATAATAAATGAGTTTGAATTCATTCATTCATCTCATCCATTATCAAATGGAGCGTTTTGTAAAGTTATCGAAAGAGAATGTTATTGTGGCTATAGACGCGGATAATATATTTTGATGTGACAAATTACTGCTATCATGACAATTATCAAGCAGCAGACTCTTAAGAATGCAATGACGTGATTGGTTTAGAAATGAATTTCAAAGAAGGAATTATGATAATGTGCATTACTATTTTGAGAATTGTTTTATGTATTTATTCGTTTATTTCCATCTTGTGATGCATTCGAATGCAAGAAATATTGTTATGGTATAGATGTGCGAGTGTATTTGATAATTAGATATTTCATTC